AGGTGTTAACAGCATTTAACAAATAGATTAGTGTGATGCATTGCAGCCAAGATATTGGTTATTTCTACATAACCTCAATATCTCAGTTATATAAGTGCATTGATAAATGTGCCATTTCCTTTAGGTATCCACTGTTGTGTAACCTGTTAACTTGCATTAATCATTTCTAGGCCCAAGTATTGCCTTCAACAAAGCACACATTATGTTGAAAACCATCATTCGAATTGGCCAAGGCTTCCTTAGCTAGGGTCTGGAGACCCTCTGCAGACCATGAAAGCAGCAAGCTCCCATGAAATGAATGATACCTCACCTGTCACCTGCAGCACGTCAGATGGCTCTGCGTGAGAACCAGGGCAAGACACTGATGTACACGGCAGCAGGCTCCGAGTGGCGCCAGTTCGGGCACCCGCGGCGACGGCGGCCTATCGACTCGGTCGTGCTCGATGAAAACGTCGCCGAGCGAATCTTGGCCGACGTGAACGAGTTTCGACATAATCCGGCTTGGTACCAGGACAGAGGTGCGTATTGTGTAGAACACAAGTGCAGTTTGGTGCAAAAGCAAAAGTGGGTATTACTGCCACCCCAGCCTAGTACCAGGAAAGAGGTGAGTGTAAAAGTCAGCCGTCTTGGTACCAGTACTGAGGTGGGCACGCTAGTCGGCCTGGCCTGCTACCAGAAAATAGGTGGGTTCAGAATCCACTCTGGCTCCGTCTGTTGCAGCGTTAAAGACGCGTCGATGCTCAGGATGTCTAGGTGATCGTTTTGCATTTACCCAATGCTTTCCTCGATCAGTCACAAGAAATGTAGCCATCATATGTATGCTAGATCTTCCTTGCGTCCTTTGTGCTGAGCTGTATCCAACACCAGCCATTGTGCTGGGCTGACCCCATGTTCCCTGTAACGTCGGCCAGGCGGCCAGGCACTCGCATCCCTTCATCGGACACCCGTGACCCGAGGCTGACTTCCCCTATTAGGCATCCCGTACCGGCGCGGCTACCTGTTGCACGGCCCCGCCCGGCTGCGGCAAGTCGTCCTTCATCACGGCGCTGGCCGGCGAGCTCGGCTTCAGCATCTGCGTCCTGAACCTGTCGGAGCGCGGCCTCAGCGACGACCGGCTGCACACCTGCTGGCCGTGGCACCGACCGAGAGCATCGTGCTGCTGGAGGACGTAGACGCGGCGTTCGTCAGCCGCGAGGACACGGCGCAGTGTGAGACGCCGGCGCACGGCGTGCTGGCGCGGGACGGTAGAGCCGGCCGTTTGAGCGGCTCCGGCGGGTGGCGAGGGACGGCCCCGACGCGGGCAATCAGAGAGGGCGAAGGAACAACGGACAGGACACCGCACGCGTGGCTGTTAAGATGGGCTGCTGGTTAAGGGCGGGCAGAGCAAAGAGTGTCGGACACGGACCCACCTGGCGGCATGGACAGCAAACCGGATCTGATCGTCAACCGCACCAAGTTGTCCTGGAGATAGGCTTGCATTTAGCGTTAATGCCCCGAGGCTTAGAACGGGGTCTTTGTCTGCAGTATTCGCCCACAACTGAGCAGGATATGGGCAATGGCAAATGTTAGCACTAATATGGCTCAGTGAGCGGCATGCCCTTGACGGGAAAATATGCTGCGTGAGCTGTGAGCTCCGCCAGCTAACTCAGTGGGGTGTTCGCTTCAGACCCGCGCGGCTTACGAGGGCCTGTCGCGGGTCACGTTCAGCGGCCTGCTGAACTGCCTGGACGGCGTGGCTTCAACAGAGGCCAGGATCGTGTTCATGACCACCAATTACCTGGACAGGTGAGCTGGTGATGAATCTTTGTTCTTGATAGTGCTGTGTGTGTGTGTGTGTGTGTGTGTGTGGTGTGTGTGTGTGTGTGTGTGTGTGTGTGTGTGGTGTGTGTGTGTGTGTGTGGTGTGCGTGCGTGCGTGCGTGCGTGCGTGCGTGCGTGCGTGCGTGCGTGCGTGCGTGCGTGCGTATGCATCTGCGTGTGCGTCTGCGTGTGCGTGTGCGTGTATGTGTACGTGAGTGTTTTTGTGTGTGCGTGCGTTGCGTGCGTGCGTATTTATATTTATATTATTGTGTGTTGTGCGTGTAGGCTTTAAGAAAGTGTCAATTGGCTTCAAATGTCTTTTCAAAATATCATCTTTTATCTCTCTTGGGGAGATAAGCATTTGTCTCACGCAGGAAATGATCCATTCCGCGCTGCTTACTACGTGACCGCACCGAGATAGCTTTCTGCCCCTGTTCGCCGACCTCATGCTCGACCCTCCCGCTCTCCCATCTCCCCTTCCCGTCCGCAGACTGGACCCGGCCCTGATCCGGCCCGGCCGCGTCGACGTCAAGGAGCACGTGGGTCACGTGACGCCCCACCAGCTGCGCCGGCTCTTCCTGCGCTTTCTACCCGGGCGAGACGGCGCCCGCGGAGCGATTCGTGGCAGCCGCCGGCCAGCTGGGCCGGCCGCTCAGCGCCGCCGCCGTCCAGGGGCACTTCATGCTGCACAAGATGGACCCCGAGCGGGCGGCGCTCTCCGCCGACCGGCTGGGCGCCTCCTGACCCTGCGGCCGACCGGCGGGGTGAGCCGGCAGCGCCGACCGCGCGGCGAGACAGCGTGTAGCGAGAGGACGTCGCGTGGACGAAGGCCTCGCCTTGGCTGATGTGCAGTGACAGTGCCTGCCGTATGGTATGCCAGTTCACTGGCTGTTACGCGCTGCGGGATGTATGAGTGTGCAAACGAGGTGTACGCGATATTATTTATTGTGGGCTTATGCAACTGTCACGCAAAAAGGAGTGCATGAACATCTCATGTCCTCGAGAATATACTACAAGCAAACCATGACCGATTACTTTTTCTTCTTGTTTTTGTTTTTGGGTTTTGGGCTCGCTGCCGCACCTTTTCCAGCCTTTTTGGCCTTCTTTGCTGCCCGTCTCAACTTCCTGAGCTTCTTTTTTAGCTTTTTTCGCTCCTTATAACCCTTCCAGTAGGATTGGATGACGATGGCTGCGGCCTCCCTACGCTCCTCTTCCTTGATCCGCTCCTCCTCCAGCCGCAGCTCCTCGTCGTCCTCAGCTATAACTCGCGTATAGTTTGCGTATTTCTCCTTCACGTCACACAGCGCCTGGAAGTTTTGCTGGCCGCACCACCGCAGGAAACGTGACAGTCAGGTTGCGGCATTTGCGGCACACCATTACAGGATGAGCATTTTAAGGTCACCTGTGCATTCATGGCTGCATTCAAATCCTGCCATTTCATAAGCCGTACGGCCATCAAGGCCAAGCAAAACGTGATGGCCGAGAAGTTCATATCTAGCGTTCGTGAACAAGATTTCCAGACATCGGCCGTCATCTGGCTCTCAATCAATGTTGTGAAAAGTACGCTAACGTAATGCAACAATGCCGCATCGATGAGCTTATTTAGTGAACAAAGAAATTGTGTTATCTGGAGAAGTCTTTCAATATCTACAAACGTGAAACATTCCCTTTGGTTGCAGGCAGCTCACCTGTTTTTGATATTTGAGGCTGCTGAGCTCGCGTTCCTTGGTGTCGGTATCGACGTCAAACTTGGTCAGCCTCTTGTCGAGCATATCGTCCAGCTCCTGGGTCGCAAGTTACCAAACGTTATTCACGCGATGCCCCATCACAATACTATTATCTTAGTGCCGGTTAGCAATCTGACGCCTCCCGGATCCTCTCGTACTTCCAGAAGTATATGTTGTGCGTCCAACTGCACGCTTTTGCCTCGTCCATTCCGATTATCCATGATGCCGCGACTGTGGTGCCCGCCCGTTTCCCTTGTCGGTATGCGATGATTTACCTCCTGGTAGCTTTACATCCTTTCAGCCGCCAATCCTGCAACCCCCAAACGACAGTCACCCACCACCTGACTGGTCTCACTCCCAGCAAATACCTGGCAAGTCCGTGCTACGGTCACCACGTGGTGGCTTCTACCCTCACCCACCACCATCCGTGCCACAGCCACCACCTGGTGTCTCCCACCCTCACCCACTACCTGACTGCTCCCGCGCCCAGTAACTACCTGGCAAATCTTGCAACAGTCACCACCTGGTGTGCCCCACCCCCACCCACCATCTGGCGGTTGCCCGGCCCCTCCTCACATCCAGGGCGTCCCGCAGGTGGCTCTCAATTTCGGTGTTGACCCTCGTCTCGTAGTCGCACTCCACGCGCGCGCCTTCAGCCTGGTTGCGTTTCAGCAAGCGCTTCTGCTCTGTCTGACCCTCGTTCGAGGCGAGCCGCGCCCGCGACGATGCCGCCGTGTAGCGCACCTCCATGCCGGTGCGGGCGAGCACCTCCTGCAGCTCGTCCTGGGAGGCGATATCGGTCTCACGAGGGGTCACTGGGGTGACACGGGGGCTGATATCCTGCGGGCTGCCCTCTGGCGTCCCAGGGGCGCGAATCGGTCCCGCGAGTGGTCACTGGAGTGACAGGGGCTGACGTCCTGCGGGATGCCCTGTGGCGCGGGCTGCCAAGAAACACGCCGCATTAGAAAACTTTGACGATCGTAAACAACACGGCTGGATCATGGAGTAAGAAATAATTGCGATTAGAGCGGGATGATGGTGCTAGAAATGTTCCCATAGTTTGTTGCTCAGCATGTGACCGTTTTGAACGTCGAGCTCATCCTTTACTGTTGGCCGACAGCGTTTTCCGCGAGCACTGCCCTACACTCACCCGCAGCTCATATATTCGGTTGTCGCGATCCGTTATCTCCTTTGTCATGGATACTTTCAACTCTCTTATCTCTTCCTGCAGCGCGGTAATGCTCTTGGAGTTCGCGATGGCATCTTCCTGAGGGTGACCAACGCCAACGTAAGCATGCTGTTCTGCACGACGGAATCTAGGTTATGCGTATTGCCGCATTAATTTGGGGAGGATTTGACAGGATGTTATGCTGGCTAGATTTCTATGTTGATATTCATCACACAAGGAATAAATTTAAGAAGGAGTGTAACCTCAACGCCTCCGTGCCTCAACAGAAAATGACCTTAAAATTTCGGAAACCTTAGTCTCTTTACCCAAGTCAGTGCCGAAATTACATTTCGGTTTAACGACCCTAATAATCTACCCAATCTTTGCATTCCATACCAGCACCCTGCCCTTTCGCGGGCACATACTTGAAGCTGGTAAACTTTCGCGCATCACTACGGTCAATACTGCATCATCTCCCCTGCAGCCCTCCCCCTGACCTCGATGACGACGAACTCCTGTCTGCGGGCGCCCTCGGCCTCCACCGTCTCCAGGAGGGGCAGGTGCGAGCTCTCTCGGCGCAACGCCTTCATCACGCGCTCGATCGCCTGCGGGCACGACACGGGGGCTCGGCGGTCACGTGACACTAGGTGTGCTGCGTGCACCTCTGCACTGTGGCTGTTGGCGTCAGGCGTGCGGCGGTGGTGTGACGTCATAAGCGCAGCAAAGTACGTGACGTTACCCAAATGCCCGTGAAATCTTCGGAAACATGACGCGTTAAGACGTACAATGCTACCAACGTTTTAAATGCACTTTGGTATCGTCCCATACGGTTTAAGACATTTATGACATCGTTATTTACAGTAGTTAGTTGCCTGCGCTCTGGTCGTGTTTCAGCGTCCCCGCTGCGTTCGGAGAGATGGGCATCGCCATTTCATCGGCCGTCTGCTCGATCAATGAACAACTTATGACAGACATAATTGTTCACCAGTGCTGGCTTCAGCTGACCTTGCTGAGGTAGGCCCTATCGGCCTGTATTTTCATCAGATGAGGGCTGGCTGGCACCATGTTCTCGCCATGTGTGCCGCGTATTTTGAGGGGCTCGTCCTCCTGCCTCCGAAATCTGGCCGGATGCAGGGTGATCGGTTACGAGCAGCGTCATGCAGTGGCCCCGAGGTGCGAGCCCTGCTGGCCGCACGCTCAGCTGACCAGTTGGAACGGCACTGTTCTCAGATATTCGACAACGTGCTCCGCTGTCCAATGAGCTCAGACATCCCACCAGGTTCAATGGGACCATGCGGCTGAACGCGCCGTTCATCCGCATCAGGTATACACACTCAGTTCGACAATGTCTTCCTCTACGACCGGAATGATGCAGAAAGCAATGCGTTGGTCCCCATGGGTGGAGTCCAACCCGATGGCTCGGTTCATTAGAGCGCCTGCCTTCCGATTCACCCACCCGTGGCGGGGTGGGTTCGAGTCGCTGCAGACGCTCGCTATTCGCCCTTGACAGGCATGGCCTGCGGCGGGTGCAGCGACCACGATAATACTCAGATGACGTCAGAGGGCAGGACGGACCGTGCCGACCGCTGCGGTTTGTTAAGCCTTCGCCACCAAATTCTGCCGTTGACATGGAATTGCGCGATGGGGTGGTGGGGTAGGGGTAGCTCACACAAAAAGCACTGTTAAGCGTGAGCTCTGATCCCAGAAATCCATCCATTCAAAAGGTTCGGATACAATCTTTCATAAAAAGGGATGAGTCCTGCAGGTGGCTTTGGTAAAGATATGGTGCTGAGATGTCGAAAGTTCAATGCTTTAAGATCCCGTTTGACGTATGCTATGAGCAAGCTATGCCGCATTTAGGCATAGCCCAGCTTAGATCGGTGAACTCCGTCTATGCCAGCGGCTTCACATTACCTTTGACGCAGCGTCTCCGTCTCATCGACATGGTCCTTGATGTATGGCGCGGCGATTACCTTCCCCAGCACCTCGAGCTGCCCACTGTACTCATCGAACAGGGCGTAGATCACCTGAAATGAGGGGACGCATTTGAGATGAGGAGCTGCACGATGAGGTGCGCGGTGTTCGCTGCGTTGTGTCCGCTTGGACTTTTTTGGTCTCTTTGGTCTCCACTTGGTCTCTTTCACTCATTTTATGGTCCGATTCATGGATTTGTGTCCATGTTTGTCGTCACTGTCCCGCAAACATGAGCCTGTGTTGTAGTTTGAACGGTTGGGAGCAAAGGTGTAAGATGTGAATTTATACCGTCTTACAGCATTTCCGTCAGCCGTAGGTCTCGCTCACCTGTGCATCAACTTCCGATACCATATTATTCTCTACCAGCTGCGGATCATCCTTTTCGTCGTACTCATCTCCGGAAGGGGCGATCGACAGGTTCCTCGACCAAGACGCCTGGCCACCCTGGGTACTGGGAACCTGTTGGCAGAAAGGTTAGCTCGATGGGGGCCCAATGCGTGTCAACATTCTCGCACTGTTTGATACTCATGCGCACACGCACACACGCACACACGCACACACGCACACACACACACACACACACACACACACACACACGCACCCAAACACACACACACACACACACACACACACACACACACACACACACACACACACACACACACACACACACACACACACACACACACACACACACACACATGCTTGTAAGACCTAGCTTAGTGAATCCGGCCGGCGTGTGACCAGACACCATCCTGGCGGGCCCGAGAAAAATGTCAAGGTACGTTTACGAGGACGGTGAAAATATACTATAGGGGGTTTCTGAGGGTGGCCAGTGCAATGGCGTCATCTATATTTGCCTCCAACGATGTTTACATTCTGCGTGTAAGCACCAGCTTGCCGTGTCCGGCGCCCCGCTGGGTGGGCAACAAAGTGGCAGACAGGTGGGCGGAACCCGAAGAGGGGACGAATTGAATGGGTACCATTTCAGAACAGAAGCGGCTCCACGTGCCGCTGGAGGCTAAAAACATCCGCATGGAGGGAAGCGATAATTGAGTAACACGCCACGCCGGCGGTGGTCAGGAGGGTGGGTGTCATCAAGGGTAGGGGACGGAGGCAAGCGATCGGCAGACAATTGTGGCATTCCGAGGCGGTTTGCCAGTGGAGGGGGAATGGTGAACAAGGTGCAGCGGATCGTTCGGGCTTCCAGCCGTTGTCACTCAAATAGCGCAGGGTTATCTTCAATCATAAATTTGTTACATGAGCTTAGCGTTGCACTAGCTCTCAATGTTACCAAGCCGTCATATAAACTGCAAATGCATTGTCATCGTTTAAATGTACATCGGCTGGACTGTAACAAGTTAAAAAAATGTTGGCGCACAACGCTGATGCCATGCGAGTTTACATGCAGTTTTAATTTAAGCATGTTTGAATGCAATATCCTCGTTTTCGATGAGCAAGTGAACGGTGCGTTTGTTACATTTGCACATGTGATGCAAGCGCAGAACCGGAACCAGCATATCTCCCAAAGGAGGAATCTCCTGCAAGATACTAGGGAAAGATCAAGGAAGTGAATATTGACTGGATATTTTGGCAATAAGGACAGATAAATATTTGACACGAACTGTACGTTGTAGGCCATGCGTTCCGAATTGGGGAGGGAGTTTTCTCCAGAGAGGAGTATACTAGAGTCTCTGGAGGCATTTGGATGTATCCAATGGTCTCTGAGTCAAGAAAGACGGCCGTCCAGGTAACACCAACAGGTCGGCACTGACTGAAAAGTGATGTTGCCTTATGCATAGCCATGCACCACACGCAGTAAAACGCAATGATATGACGTAATAGCTTAACCCAGGGACACTTTACCGCTCACATTAAGTTTTCACGCACAAGCGATGCATCTGGAGTGGTTTACTCCGTGACCTTATTTGTGCCACCCGAATGCAATCGATGTGGAACACTCCTTTTGATCAATCAGCCCTTGATATGATTCGTTTCACCATGTCCCTTTTTTACATAGATATCGTCAGAGACCTAATTTCGTATGCAATTTTTATCTGCTCCAAAACTAGGAAAACCGGTAACAAACCCATCATCTCTCACCAGGCCTATGGAAACAGCCGATGAAATTGCTGTTTCAGTAGTTTGGTTTTGTTACGTACGATTTCCCCATTTCACGGCTTCTAATGTAGTCTCTAATGCGGAGTTTGGTTTACGTTTAACGCGACCAATATCTAAGCTTCGTGCTAAGCCCACTGACACTGCTCGGAGAGTTGTAACCGGTCTCGCTGATTTTCTTGGGCATTGCGATACCTGAACACAGAGTTGTGACAAAATGGGGTGTTTTGTTATGGACAGCCAAGGTTTTAAGCCGCGTGTGGAACAGATCATAAGAATACACGGGCATCGTAATTGGTCTGACACACTTGAAACACACCAAACCGAAAGTTTTCTTATAAAAATTGCTTGGGTGTTCCTGTCGTCGCGTCTATCGTCGATGCCGGATATCGCTGTTAACGGCCGTAACGTCACGCAACTTCACAAATACAAAACTGCTAACATTTAGACGTACGAGTAGTCGGTGGCAGGCGAAAACACGACGGCATCAGTAACGTCTTGAAACACCTTGTTTGGCTTGACACGCACAGCCTTATCAAGTATTGTAGAATATATGTCATTCACGCAACTGTGACCGCAGGTGGAGGTGTCAGGTGACCGCAGATCGCCGACACTGTCGGCAACGCAGCACAACGCCAGTGCGAGACCCGAGATGTCATCTGACACGTTTTACCGAGAGTGTGTACGGATAAGGACCGTTACCACCTTTGCCAGCGTGGAATGCAGGAGCACGATCGGCTTGCATTTATTGTAATCCTGCGTAACTTCACATACCGGTGGAAGAGAGACCTAGTGCGTGTGAAATTTGCAGCCGGTGATTCGTGTTGTGTGTGAGCATATTGCTGAGTTTTATCACGTACGCAACGGCTACAATATTTTATCTTGCCGATATCTTTTAATATCACGACTTACGGCACTGCAAAACCACGCAAGTTTGGATTTGTCGCGAAGTGAAAACTGAATCGGAAACGAAATTTGTATTGGGCTGGGTGAGGGAGATCATGACGCGTCTACCCCAAACGGAAAAAGACATAAAAAGGGGATGCAGGCGACAGACTTGTCTTCGATTCCAATTATTTGAATTGGCTCAGGACCGGCCCACTGGAACCACATTCAGCTCACGACTCAAAGCCGTTCAAAAGGTCTTAATTCGACTCGGATGGAAGTTTAAGTTATAATGTGCAAGGCCCGGTGAATAATAAGAAAATGGTTGCAGATATATTTAGCTCCCCAATATATGTTGTGCAGCTTTTCTCATGTGAAAGCTAGCTTTCGGGCCTTAGTTATTCAGTGTAGCCCATTATAAAGTATTCGTAGTCTCTGTATGTCAAAGACCTACCTGACAGGGTTTTTCGGGAGCATGGTCACATAGGCCATAAGTCTGTCAGGTGTTTTAGGTCTTTAAGATCATTTAAAGGGTAGTCTTTCATTTAGGGCAACTGTGCAGTTTCAGCTCGTCGCTATGGCGCTTGTCGTTATAATGCCAACCATTCTCTTTTCAAGCACAACTGCTGCTCAAGCAGGGTTGTAATTTTATATTCACCGAAAGTGGTGCAAGCCCCAGCTTTGAGGAAAGTTTCTCGAATTTATTCATTTATCTAATTATTTTCCAAATTTATCTTGAGGAACTACGCCTCTATTACCACGACCTGAGAACCAGGCTTCCAAGATGGTAGACTATCCACGGGGGGCAGAGGGCGAAAAAGAGAGACTCTTCAGAGCTCAGTATCTTCGGCTGTGGTTGCGACACGTAATCTGCCCCTGGAACAATGGGAAATAGGCGCCGCATTTGCCGTTTGGACACCTCGGCGGCCACAGCGCCTTGCGTTTGTACCACAGTGGCAGCTTTCTGTAGCCTTGTGCGACGCACGGGTGGAGTCGGCGCATAACACAGTTCGGCAGCGCCATGACAGCGTCATTTGCGCCGGTCCAACTCCGTTGAAATACCGTGCGGACGCCTCCACTGGATAAACCGTCGGTTTCTTAATGGTTACTGTCCCATGGTGCCAGCCGGAAGAGCAAGGAACGACAGCACAGCAGCAATGTCATCGTGTCATCACCGCCGTGCTGTCTCTGAGGCAGCACTGCCGGCCGTGTGCAGCAATGGCCGCCAGCATCACAACTACAGCACCTAGCACCGTGCCTGGTCCTACCATTGGCCGCGCTGGCGACAGCCAGCTTTAGACGAATAACGACGCGACAGGCTCCATATGTCAAATATAGTAAAGCTATACACCTTCTGCCACAGGCTGTGACGGAAGTTTTTTTTTGTAGAGCTCGCAACACGTTCCATGGCATATCGGCCGCATCTTTAGGCTATACATGTTTAGTATATATATATATATATATATATATATATATATATATATATATATATATATATATATATATATATATACAAGTCGAAAGATCGTTCGCACTCAATGTTTCAATTGGTGGTCAGTGACCGTATTATATCTATTTTCTGTTCCAACTCTGCCGAAAAGTTGGCGGCAAAAGGGTTCGATCCTACACCTGGATATCACAGCGCTTGCATGGGCCTATGTTTTGCCTTATAGCTTGGAAGTGCCGCGGCGCACACTTTTGATCTCAGAAATCGAAAGAGAATTGTTCAAGCTTCATTTATATGCACTTTTTGTGCACATATACGTTAAATATTTAGAAAGCCGTGGGCCTGAAAAAGAACATTTAGCATGGGACCCTAAGTGTGCCGTTGCTGCCATATTTTATATTCTACTTCGGGCCCTCTCCCTTCCCCTCGCTCCGGCTCTGTATCAGTACAGTTTACCTGCATCCGCAAGCGGTGGATTACTGTCACTCCCTTCCCATGCGGCTGAACTGTCGTCGCCACCAAGCCTGCTGCTGGCTTCCTTGATGTCACTGCGTGTCAGCTTATATCTGTCATGGGATGTAATCAAGGCAGTAGGCAGAGGGCACCAAACACCTGGCGGCCAGCTTTGCAGGCATTTAAAGGCATGTTTTTAACGCTTTCCACACTTCGCATCTACCTGCAGAGAGGGTCATTCACGGCCCTCCGCACTGAACTCCTGCCAGGCCGTGGAGATAGGTCTGCTGGGTCTGACATTTGTTCTGCAGACATCTGTGTGTGCATCAAAGTATTAATGATACCCGATGGTAAATGACCAATTTTTTGTGCGACGGTCGCAAAGTTGATGACGGAAAGGAATTCCTCTAACGTTAGTATATGCAGTTAACAAGATACTATAACATATTGTCTGTGCGCTACTGGTGCTTTACGACGCATTCAGCGGCTGAGTCTGTATGGTGTCGTCTACCTTTCACCCCGGCAGGAAAGAAGTGTATTATTACATATTGATGTTCATCAGCCAAAGCACTTTTCAAAGCCAAAGCACACTCAAAAAGAGAAAAGAAAATCAGTGACAAGAAATCAGACACCTACCTGAAATGAGGGCTGGCCTTTTAGCTTGCATCCCTGTACATTCGCAAAACGTATGCCATGGGTTTGTAAGCGCGCGTAATGTATGCTATGTCGGCCATTATCTGACAAAAGATCATTTTCAGCGCATTTTTTTCAAAAGAGAATTGTAGCGTGAGGGTTTGTATTGCATGGGGCATTTTCTTTACGCCAATATCTGAGTGCTATAAACAAACGCCAGAATGAGCGATAACACACTCGTTCCTGCCCTCGTTCCAGGTCACCCTCACTTCGCGTTGGCTGCTCTATTCAAATCTGCTACCTATTCCTCTGGAGGGTCAACCAAACGCGGTAGATGTGGTTCTGTTTTGTAACATAGCTCGAGCATTGGCAACACATCGTCGACACGTGAAATCTTCTGTCATGCGAGGTGTGCACATACTAGCCAGTTAGGCGTGTTGCTTGACCAATGGATCATAAAACTCAATGCCTTGGTGAAAGCTTGAGAGGGTCAAGTTACCTGGACGAACCAGAGCTTCTAAATATTTTGTCGGGTTGACAGAAAACTGCTTTGGAACAAAACATAAATGTCTTGGTTCATTTTAGTCATTAGCTGACCCATGGATTGTATCGTATGGTTATCATGTTATTAATGCATCTTATTTTTGCTGGAATATGAGGAGCACTTTCACATGGGAGCTCCCGGGGCGAGTGCCATCCTTCCCCATTATCAACTTGCCGTTATTACACACTTGTCGCATTTTGTATGCAATGTTATGAGCGCATATCAATGATGGCAGTAAACACTCGACTCTGACGCGAAAAAACAAGTGGAACGAGTTAACACAACGCTGTTTTACACATTGCAATAAATTTCGTGCGTCCGTGGTGAAATAAACCCACTTTTAGGAACAAACATAGGCTTTCCCCTCTCGCCCAATGTTCAAATCCTTCACATAGTTATATAGAGTGAAATACAAGGGCATTGCAAGGTTGTGGCTGATCATGTGGCTACGTCACGGCAGCGCAAACATGACCCCGGTGTTGCGGATCGACTGCGGAGCCACCGTCTTGAATTCTTGGTGAACACTTGCTTGATAAAATTAAGTCAGATCCTTTGCGCCTGATTTTTCGGCACAATTTATTATACTGATTTCTAATAATATTTATTTAGCTTTATTTTGCATTATCATGTCGTCTAGCCAGTATTTTCTGGTATTTTGATGATTGCTTACTCAACACCAGAACTTTGAGCTCATAACACAATTATTCATCCAGTTCCGAACAGAAGCCCAGTCGGCAGCGAGTGGCCTCCTTGTCCCCCCACGGGTGGTTTGCATCCCCCCTGGTCATATTGAGGACTCCGACATGGCATCAGTCCGCTGCATGTTCAACGTCGGATGGGGTGCAGGCGCCTTACAGTTATGGATTCCAATTACCAGCTGAACGCGGTGCTACAAATGTCTGCCTACATGAAGCCAAAAATGAGCTGTGAGGTCCAAAGTCAAACAAGAGGACAAAGTAGGCTGATATTTACAGGCCGCATGCGTCTCGCAATGTTTTAAGCAAGAATCACTCCGGTCTCCTTAAGCTGCTGGCTGTGTGCATAGTCTTCTCATCCGGTCTGCTCAGTTACAAGCGTTCTGTTGGTATATCCAGCGATATCGCACCCATTTCCCCGGTACGGCGCCTTTTGCCAAAGGGTCATTGTGGACCATAAGCGTAAGAACGTTTCAAAAAGTGGGGGAGGGGACAGGCTCAGGGAACAACTCAGGAAGTCTTCTGGGAAC